GCACCACTATATTAAAAACCCTTAAAACACATAAAAATAAGCATTAAATAAAAATAGTGTCCAGCACACAAAACTGAAACTTGCTCAATTAATTAAAAGCCCACCTAACAAGTTTGTCTTTACTTGCTTCTGGAAGGACAAGAACGGGAGGGCAAAATTAGCCTCATTATAGAGCTCTACTCCATGTTAGATCAGATTTGCTCTTTTTCACCATCTCTAGTCTCTGTCCCATTCATTCCATCATCCTCAGTTACCTACTAAACCAATGAGCCAGTTTCATTGCAATCTGTCGAAAGGGATGATTAGGAGCAATCATGCCAATACCCCTGGCCACCTCCACATTCCATAGATCTGCCAAGGCCTCTACAAGATCATCAGCCAAGACAGCTGGAAACTGCCCAAGAGCTGTCAGGAAATCATGTGAATCATTTTAATTTACCCTCCATTCCTGCAGAGGCTCAGAATTCCAATAAACCTAAAATACTGTAATGACAGAGAGTGTAAACCATGAGATCGGCACTTGTCACCTCTCTATATTTACAAACTGTCACATAAATATGTTCAGCAGTCAGGAATATTATTGTTCAGTGACCTTGCTCCAACTAGAGAAGTAACTAAATGTTTTGAAATGACTATAGTAAATTATTGTTCAAGTCTCAATTTTAAAAGCACTTTCTTTTTCAGGGCTTTTTTTTCTTTCTTCCTATTTTTGTTGTTGTTCAAAAACACCAGGCACAGTCAAAATTATAAAAACACTGACTGGTATTACATAACAGTTTTTAACCAAAAATCTAAGTATCTGTTAAATATCAGTATGCATGCTGTTCCTAACACTGCCGTTTTATGTAGCTCTGATGGTGTGATTTCTGAGATCTGTAACTGTTTATAGTACTGTGTGAAGTTTCTTGATATTGTTCCCAAAACACTGAAGTGTGTTTCTTCCAGAGGCAAGATGTTTCAATTGCCAGGTCTCTCTATTTTTTAAATTTTTTCCAATTCTTTATTTTCAGCTCTGGTATCCCCTGGAATTGCAATGTGAATGAACCAGACATTTCTTCGTTCTATTACTACTATGTCTGGTGTGTTATGTTCAAGGTGTCTATCACTTCAGATCTGGAAATCCCACAAGATCTTGACTTCCTTATTTTCTTATACCTTCTCTACCTGGTGTTCCCATGGGTTTTTGGAGGCTGGGAAGTTATATTTTTTGCAAAATGACCAGTTCACTAATTTTGCCACTCTATCATGTCTAATTCTGTAATCTGTTTGTGCAATCTTTAGACATTCGCAGTTGGGTTGTGACACATTGGCTACGGGGAGAGGCGGGGAAGTACCAGAGAGACTATATCCACAACTGGCATGACATCACTGCCACCGGGCACATGTGTGTGCAGAGGAGCCTTGTAAGTGAACCAGGCTGGTTCTGGGGAGGAGGGAAGGACTGCTGGGACACCTGTGCTGGCAAGTTTCATATCTGTCTCCCCCCGGAGACAAATACAAAGCTCCCATGTCTAATTAAAACCATAGTGCTTTGTTTTTCCATGTCCACCCAAGCCTGAACATCACACCTCAATTGTCTATGTCACCAAAACACTATCTACAGACAATACATCCAGTCTTCACCAGAACTTACCATAACTAATTACACACAAGAAAGCCTGATGAAATAATGCCCAACAGAAAAAAATTAAAGCCCCCGCCAGTGGCAGAGAATGTAAGTCGCTTTGGGAGCAAAAAGGGTGAATCAGCCCTTCGTCATGTAGTCAGTTAAAAAAAAAAACTTCAAATTCACTCATTTTACAAGTGCAGCAAATGCCACGTTATTTGATTATGTATTCACACTCAGTGTTAAACCTGATTTTTCTAATGTTTTTTTTTTCAAATTAAGCTAGATCTTGAAAAGCTCACAAGCCAGATATGAAGCATGAGTGCCTAGGTTTCCTGACCAGGTCTAGCTTCCATAAAACAATGACTTGTATCCAAATTTTATTTTCTATAACAATAGGACAAAAAGAGACCCTCTCTACTAGCCACAATAATATGTATCCTTTCAGTAAGTATCTAGTTTTGTGTTTTGCATTCCATGATGATCTACAAAGTTTTAAACAGCAAAATATACAAAACAATTACATAGAAATTGGCTCAAATTCAGGTTAAAGACAAAGTCATTAATTGCCTAACTTCAAAATACTGTACACAGAAAATTGAACGGAAGAGATAGAGATATTCATTTGCAGTTACAAACTATCAGAACTTCTGTATCTTGCCAATATGAGAAAAAAACTTCACACTAGCTTCCAGGATGTGAGTATTAGTTTCTTTTCCCCATAGGCAAAGGATTAAAAAGGAACAGCATCAAGAAATACTTTGTCTACAAATGTGTCAGCCAGCAAAGCATGAGTTTCCTGAGGAGTGCAAGGAGGGAGTCTGAACTTCAGAGATGCAATTTCCTTTCACAGCATGAAGCTTGATCCCTGTCCTTTGTTTTCTAAAAATAGGATTATTTATTTTTCCTGGTAAGCAAGGAGGTTTTAATGCAACAGCTCCTGCAGGTTTGCCTACAACTTGGGAAGCCCCTATCTAGATAAAAAAAAAATGACAAAATATGGCAGATAGAAGGGGGAGATACTTCACATCGCAATCTGTCAGCTGGCTTATTGTTGTTGTTATGCACTGTTAAGTCAAGAAAAGAGTTATAGAGACCCTTATAAGATTTTTCAAGATCAGTGAGATATTAAAGGAGTGGTTTTATCAGTTCCACACCCCGAGTCAGTTTCCATGGCTGAGCAGAGATTGAAACGCTTTTCTCCAGAGTCCTAGTCCATCACTCTATCCACTACATCGCACTGGGAAGCTGAATAAAGATTCTCTCCATCTGGGCAATGCAGACACAATGGGGGTGGCAGGTCAAACAGATCAACTAGGGCCAATAGAGCTACACTGTTCTAACTGGAAACTATAATTTGCATAGGTCAGACATAAGAACATACCTAAACTCACATAAAAATTTAAACTTGTTTATTCATTGGGTTTCACATTCCTAGAAGTTCTAATACAGTTCTTCAATATAATTTGACACAGATATTTAACAACTAGCTTTGCAGATTAATGTAATAATAGAAGGAAAATTAAGACCCAAGATGAGGAGGGCCTCTGTCCTTCACAAATTGACAGCAATCTACAAGTGTGCACTGTGGCATAGTGCTACTAATAGAGGTTTGATAATACAGTATAATCCATTCCAGCAATATAAGCAAAAACAGCCAATAAAAGAACATAATAACTGACTTTCATACAAGTTTAATCAGTAAGTAGACTTGGTTTTTTGTGGAGTTCTAAAGCAAGCTATTCTCTACACCACCCATTCTCAACCTGTTTTTGGCCATGGCCATAAACACAAAATGGAAGAAATATAGGCTGAATCAGGATTGTATAAGCCACATAACCAACCTTATAAGGTGGTATGTGAAGACTTGTTTCCAACCTGTGCCCCCCCCTTCAAATGTGCCATGGCCCCCATTGAGAATGGCTGCTCTGCACAATGTGTTCTCTCCCAACACCTACAGGTACTTTAGATCTGGCACTTGATATCTTACTTGCTTTACAACATTTTCAAGTAACATATGCAATAGCTGATTGATCCTTTGTCTTGAGGGATACATAAAAGACACTTCACACGGTAAATTTTCCTGATTCATCTACTTCCATTCTTTCTTTGTTCATGTCAGAAGTACCACAGTACAATTTATATATTAGATAATCGGGGTGCGAACTAATCATCCACATAGGCTGCACAAGGGTATAATTAGGAGCTATGACTAGTGTCAGTTGAGCAGACAACACTATGATGTATTAGGTGGGTTATAAATTCTCAATGGACAACAGGAAACCCCCCTCCTTTATTTTCAAGATTCACAAGCCAATATATAAATTTCCCTCAGAAACATCACACACAAAATTCAATATGTTGAAAATAATCTAACCCAAGTGCTCACAGAATTACGTTTACTAATATATAATTATGCAATGCATATTATATGATTATACAACATTAACTGTTCCTTCTTCTTGACAGTTAAGCCGTTTAATCAGTAAACAGCAGAGATCAGTAGCAGATATAAAATAGCTAAGCATCTCAAAGAAGTCACTGCAGTATGAAAGAGATATGTTGCAGAATAAACTCTTTTCTAGCTGAATTGGAAGGCATTACAACACATATGTAATTTCATCAAGCTGAGGGGGGGACAAATGGGACAGTAACTGATGAAGTCTTTAAAATAAGATAATCAGAGAGGAAATTTGCAGAGAATTTAAAATATTTACCCCCTTCTAGAACTGAAGGTACTGAAGATGATGGAGGTATAAGTGTCTTCCTACAAAGACACAAAACAAAACATGTCAATCAACTAAGGATATGTACTGTTCATTAAAAAAAAAAACTACCCCTCTATTTTCTAACTGCAGGCCTGGACAATTACTTTCAGACCACTCTGCTGTGCACATTGAAAATAACAGAACATTAATGAAAACATAAACTGCTGTCATAGAATAAAGAATTCCTCTATTGATTGTCTGTCATTCCATTGGAAGCCTGTTTGTAAGCTTCTAAAACAAACAAACAAAAGCAGGCTGCCTCAGTGATCTAGGGAGAAAATGTTTTTCTGATGTGCGTTTTTTAATATTTGGAAGAGGAAAGTACACATCTGTTATCACAGACTATAGTGATTTGGCAGTGCCTTTTTCCAGCAGAGATGTAACCACAGCAGTTCCCAAACTATATTCCATTTCCCCTAACATATTCCCCACCTCCTCATTATCTTGGAAGAAGTAGACATAGCTATCTACTTTTTGGTCATGGGTGGTCAAGCCTGAGAAGCAGAGATGAAGGAACAGAAATACATTCTAAAGTCATATGAGAGAGAAGAGATAGCTTAACATCGTATTAAAATAACAATATTGTACACAGAATTTATTGCTAGAAAAACAATACAGAATTGTACCGTCAGTGACTTAAGAAAAATTTCATTTTCTCAGAAAAAGCATTTGCATCCAGTAGAATTGCCTTCTCTTTCACATTCTGTTAAAGCAAAGGACCACAGCACTTCAGGTAACCACAGCACTGTGGAAATTCCTATTCACTGGAACTCGGATATAGTAGTTCAGCAAAGAAAACAGCCTTCACATACTTCTTAACTGTCACATCACATCACAGCAATGGTTTATTACAAGCTTACCCAAGAGCAACCTATTGAGCACAAAATGCTCTCATTCTGTTTCTCTCGAGAGATAACTTACATTCAGTTTCACAGAAACCTACAATGCCAGCTGATGGAAACTGTCTATAAGAAATGACAAATCTATTGCTTCAAGAGTTCACTGTTGCAAAATCACCTACCCAAAATTTGGTGCTGCAGCAGAATAATTCAAAGCGTAATCATAAACAGAGCTTGGGAAAGTTAGTTTCCAGTGCTGTGGACAATCCTGTTGCTCAGTATAAGAAATTACACTACAGTAGGCCCATTGAATCAATGGGGATTTAGTGACCACACTGGCTCTTTTGGTCCAGGCTGGTGCAGTCTAAATAGTGTCAACTGAGTTCAGGGATGGAGCGATAGGCCATTTGGTGTGATCCTGGCATCCAAATGGCAAACCTCAAGTGATCCTATTTTCAGTATCATGAAATGGCTTAATAAACAAGTCACTTCTGGATATCGGTAAATTGAACATTTCCACTGCTTCCCTGCTGTGGAAGTAGGGGAAGTGAAATTATTTATTTTACCTGTGCTAGATCATCACTGATATACTCAATCATTTAGATTAATTTTTTAAAAATATTTGCCTTTGTGTGGATTGCCTATCAAAACTGTGGCTGTGTGCAGTTCCTCAATTGGCACTACTCAAAAGACAGGGTTTTTTTTAAATTAAATCTACATGATTCAGCACATCAGGTTGGTCTAGTACAGGCAAAAGAAATAATTTCACTGCCCCCGCCCCAGCTCACTTACTAAGGCACTTCACAATTCTATAAATTGAGAACAGAAGGAGCCCTGTCAGCTTTGACAGCTGCAAGGCTTTTATTTATTTATTTACAACATTTATTTATTTACAAGATTGTTTAGCCACATCATTACCAGTGGTCTCTGTTACCAGTGATTGTACACACTGGAAATGGACAAAACTAGACAGCAGCTACCTGCAGCAACAGAGGGACTCAAAAAGATGCAGGTCGGGGTGCTCTAAGGCCAGATTGGTCCACTCTAGTGAACAGATCATCTATTCTCCGAAAAGCAAGTGAACTGAAGCGCACCAAGCAGTACAACAAATGCCTGTCTGATCAAGCCTTGAATCAACTTCTCCTTAGGTTTCACTGATTTAAATGAGCCTAAGCTCACATGCCTTGAGCAGCAAGCAGGACTGGCAGATACCAGAAAATCACATGGGTAGTGGACATGATCTGGGAGCAGTTAAGATTGTGACCCAAGCCATAGGTCACACCCATATTCTAATAAAAACTGATTATACCACTTGGTACCCAGAGGTCATAGGATTGTGACCTAAGCAAAGGTCCTTGCCAGATAATTGCTTGGTCTATTTTTCAGGACAGATTTCCTGAAGAAAATCCTGATCATTTCATGACTTTAAAAGAGCTAGGGATCACACACCCTTCATACTTCTGTTTATGACCCCCAAACCAACTGGTTAGTGGAGCAATTTATAGGACCCTTAAGGGTATGTCCAATTAATTAGTTGCCTCTAAACCCCATCAGGGACATTTATTACTAAATTTCTTACTGTTTACTGTACATAAGACTCCCTAAGCATCCACAGGTTTCTCCCCATTTGAACTCCTTTATGAGCATTGTCCAAGGTAAGATCTTGATTTAATGCTGGAACAGTGGAAAGAAAGGGAAGACCTTTCATACACAGTGGCACAGATAGAGATGAGAGAACATTTTCAAGAAGACACTCTGTTAGCTAGGGTATCCTTTAATTTTTTTTTTTTTAAAAAAAGAATAAACAGCCCCAAAACCACTAGGTACACTTCCAAGTCTTCCAAGTTCTCCTCTTGTTGCCTTCTTCCCAGGCCAAACTCTCTGTGCAATGGCAAGGGCCATGTGAAATTGTCTACCAAGTCATGCCAGACAATTATGAAGTTTGAATGCCTAACGAACACACAATCCACATTAGCTTTTTGAAGGAATGTGAATAGAGGTTCTCTTTGGAGAAGCTGAGGATGACTTTCTAGACCCGGAGACAAAGCATGATGCACAAGGAACACAACTGACATTGGGGAACAACTGAGCCCCACATAAAAAATAAATAAATAAGTAATCTAGAATAAGAGTTTGCAGATGTGTTTTTCTCTATCCTGGGCATACTACTATAGATTCACTCACTGACTCTGGAATGATAGTTTGAGCCTTGAGCAGGACCTGGCCAAAGCATCTCAGACAAGTGATCAAAGAGGAGGTGGACAACGTGCATTCAACAATATAGCAGGAAAAATATCCTTAGATTGGCTGTGATCCAAAGTTTTTCAAATCAGGTTTCTGATTGCTGCGAAATTGCTGTAGCAGTCTAGACATCAAACAATTTGAAGGAATCAGTAGGGGTAGAAGCAAAGAGTTGTGCTTCTATGGAGCTCTGTAACAGCAGAAGCTGCTTTTGACAAGGTTCTAATTGGCAATTTCCACCTTTCTTTTTAAATTTACTGTTTCTGAAGTTACCTAACGATAATAGTGTTCCACTGCTGTCTTGAAGGTCTTTTACAAAACCAAACAAACACTGTTGCCAGACAGGTGCTCAGTTGAGGGAACTTCACACACCCAGGAGTGCCCCTTTATCTCCAGATCAGTCAATCACACTGCATAAAGTGGACAAAAGTGATGTCAAGTAGATCAGAGCATATTTAAACCACCCTTACTGGCTGAACAAAAAAGGACAATTCCCCACTGAAAAGAGACAATCCTACAACAGGCTTCCCTGTACTGAGATATATCATGTAAAGACCATGTTTCAGTTCAACTTCATCTGTGCCTAATCCACTGCAAATAATAGGATAACTGGCCAGTGTAGTCACCCCCTCTGTTACAATTAAATCACAGAACCCACTAGGAGTCCATGCTTAGATCTGCTGTGATCCAAAGTTTTTCAAATCAGCTTTCTGTAAGTGCAATTCTTTAAGTTGAACAGAATCCACCATAAGTCCATGGAGGAGTCATCTGGTCCTGGTTCCCAAACACAATGGCAGTGTCTGTTTTAGCAGAGATTTCCTGCAGTCTCCATATTTTATGCCAGAGGTTGATGAATTATCAAGTGGCACAAAATTCCATCATTTATTTATCTACTTTGTCATTTTTCCCTATATATGTTTTATTTATTACCACATACTAGTTATCCTCATCTAAATTTCTCATATCTTTATAATATATTCCAGCAGATTCTTCACATTGCATTAAAGAAACTACTTTGTAGTGCCTATAGACATTTAGAATTCAGCTAGTTCTGGCAAATGTTGGCTGACATTTCATGATTATGAAAAGACAGTGTCTTCTTTGCTCTTTTTAGAAGTGCAAGAAGTGTCACATCAGTAAATCTAGCCAATCATATTTCTTTTAAAAATTACCTTCCATGAACATCTTTCATATAGCTTTGCCACAGCTTGCCAGAAGACTCATTCAAAAATTATTGCTTTTGGTCAATAATCCCATGTTCTTAAACTATGGTATTTTACATGTAAAAATAATAATAACAACTGTATGCCATCAAGTCATTTGTGACCTTTGGAAACCCTTTCTAGAGTTTTCTAGGTAGAGAGTACTCACAGGTGGTTTACCATTCCCTTCTTCTGGAGGCATCCTAGAACAGTGCAGCTTGCCCAAGGCCACACAGCCTGATCTTCCATTAGGAGGGATGGTGGGGAATTAAACTCCCAATCTCTCACTCTGGACCTGAGCTTTCCAACCAGCTATAGTATTTTACATTTATCTTCTTTTAATTTATAGAAATACCATAGACTATTGTCATGTACTGGTATAAGACATATCACAGATTAAGTTCTCAACTTTTCCCAGAAACCACAAAAGGCTATGCAAAAGTCCAGAAGGTAGAATAAATTTCCCTCTCAGTATTTCTACATTAAAAATTACCATGGCTTAATTTGTTTGTTGATTAATAGGTTGGGCAACATGCAGCCCAACAGCTACAATTAGCCACACACGGGCATTATTAGGCCCCCAGATCAAATTAGGGTTCTGCATTTTTAAAAAAGGTTTTTTAATTATATGCTTGCTGCTGCTGCTGCTGCTGCTGCTGCTGCTGCTGCTGCTGCTGCTGCTGCTGCTGCTGCTGCTGCTGTTGTTGTTGTTGTTGTTGTTGTTGTTGTTGTTGTTGTTCAAAAACACTATATTTCTACTCCTGGATACCTTTTTGCACTGGAAACTTTGGAGATGCTGGGGACTTCGTCTGGGATCTTTGACATGTTAAGCACCTGTTCTACCACTGAGCTACTCTGATTCCAGACACAGGCAAAAATTACCTAGCAAATGAATGTAAAAATATAGGTATGAGACATAGCTAGGCAACATGGAAGTCCCCAGGGACCCAAATGCAGAACACTAACATCTTTGTGGACTTCTGACACTCATTGTGTGCCGTCAAGTCACCTCCAATTTATGGTGATTCTATGAATAAGCAACCCCCAAAATGTCCTGTCCCCAATTGCCTCACTCAGCTCTTGCAAACTCAAGCTTGTTGGCCTTCCTTTAGAGTCAGTCCATTTCATATTTGGCCTCCCTCTTTGCCTGCTGCCTTTCACCTTTCCCAGCATTATCGTCTTTTCCAAAGAATTCTGACTACTCAAGATGTGCCCAAAGTAGGACAGCTTCAGTCTTAACATTTTTGCCTTCAGCTACAGTAAAGACTTGATTTAATTTAGGGTATCCGCAAAGCAATCCAGTGCCATGTTTCCAATTAATCAATTTTTTCCTGTCAGCTTTCTTAACTGTCCAGCTTTCACACCCTTACATGGTGATCAGAAATACAAGAGTGTAGATGATCTTGGTCTCAGTCTCCAGTTACACATTGTGAGGGAGCGACAGACCCAAAGGAGAAAGAACACAGTGAGCCATCCCCTCAGCTAGAGACATCTGAGCA